AGGTGGTTACATACTTTTGAGTCTTTGATTCGGGTCATGATATATACAGGTGGGATGATTTTGGAAGGGTATTAGATGTACTAACGGACATGTAAATATTTTTTGTATAGGGGCGACACTCTCTTAGTGTCATATACATAATATATATGTTTGTATTTAAAAAAAAAGATATAACATTTAAGAAGTTTTAAGCAGTAAGCTGTAAATGTTTGATTGTATTAACAACCAAAAAATTCAGAAAGCAAGAACTCTTTATTGGATAATTGACCTCCTTTCAAAAGTGAGATTATAAAATTATTTATAGTGCTTATTAGGTAGCTTTTCCTAAGAGGATTGAAGTAAGAAATACTAATATTTATTAGACTAGAAAAATTAAATGCTTAAAAGAATAAATTGCTAAAGTTACAAAAATTATGACAGTAGTAATCTATTTGAAAGAACTATATTTTTGATCTTTTTAAAAAATGTAAATTGACTCATTCTGCATCATAATCCAACATTTCATGTTTGTGTATGACCTTTGTATTTTCAGCTTATCCAACTTGATTTTATTTTGGTATTTGTTTTCTCTAAGATTATTATTTGAAATGTTTGTGTATTATTAAGTAATGTACTTAGTAAGCTTTTCTAACAATGCATGCTTGTTAACCTGTAGTTCCCCCAGTGGTGAAGACTAGAAATATGAGGAAACGTGTTGCTTTGACACAGAATCAAGCACAAAATGTTGCCCAAGATCATAACCAAAACGAAGCTCAAGACCGGTCGTTACACGCTGTGCAGGATCAGTCGCACTATGATGATTATTTGCTGAATGGTAATTGCCACACTTTATGATTCCTGCTTTCTTTGTCTTCTATCGTAAAAAGAATTTAATACTTACACTTGATCTTGATATTTGTAATCTATACAATTTGATTTGATTGTGGTGTTAGCATTCCTGGTAAGCTTTTGTAACAATGCATGGTTGTTAATCTGTAGTTTCCACAATGGTCAAGCCAGGAAAGAAGCTAAGACATGTTGCTTTGACACAAAATCAAACAGAAAGTGATGCTCAAGATCATAAACATAATGAAGCTCAAGGCAAGTCTTTCCACACTTTGCAAAACCTGCCGCACCATGACATCGAAACTTAATTATGTGTTGCATCTCCTCCATGTGCACTTAGCACTGTTGTCCAAGAGGCCTCATGGCATGGTAGCAAAATGGCTGATAGTAATATCAAACTTTATTGTTGTTTTCTTTTTCTTTTCCTTTTTTTTTTGTTAGGAAAAGAATCAAAAGCTCTCTTGTATGCATGACCTTGATATTCTCAATCTTTCCAATTTGATTTGATTTCTTTTATTTGTTTGGTTACAGAATAATCTTTGAAAGACATTTATGAGAAATTAACAATTTAAATAGTCTACCATGTAAGCTTTTATAGTAATGCATGCTTGTTAATCTGTAGTATCCACAATGGTGAAGACTAGAAAGAAGCAAAGGCGTGTTGCTTTGACACAGAATCAAACAGAAAATGAAGCTCAAGATCATAACCATGGCGAAGCTCAAGACATGTCATTGCTTAATATGCAAGACCAGCCACACCATGAATCTGACACTCATTCCACTGTTATATCTCCTCCAAGCATACACTATTCTGCCGTCCAAGAGGGACATGAAGGCTCTGTGATTGATGGTAATCTTCATAATCATTTTTCTTTCTTCTCTTTTTTTAAAATAGTCCGTGCTTCAAATTTTCTTATATCCATGGTCTTGATATTTTTAACCTATTCAATTTGTTTTAATTTCTGTATTAGTTCTTGGTAAATTATTCTTTGAAGCCTTGTTTCAAACATTGACAATATCAATAAATGGTGTGCCTGGAAGGCTTTTCTTAACTGCATGCTTGTTAATCTATAGTTTCCCCAATGAAGACTAGAAAGAAGCAAAGACAGGTTGTGTTGACACAGAATGTAACAGAGAATGATGCTCGAGACTATAACCAGAATGAAGCTGAAGATCTGCTGTTGCACACCGTGCAGGACCATCCATGTGTACCTTATCCTGGCATCCAAGAGGATCCAGGGCATGATCACTCTGTTTTTGATGGTAACCATCAAAGTTTATTTTTCTTTATTTTCTTTTATTCTAGAAAAGAAATAGTTTATTAATGGAGCACCAAAGGGTGCTATCCATGTAGAAAGAAGGAGAACTAATATAGCATCAGAATGACAATAATCCTCTAGATCCTTGTAGAAGAAAGCCGGTTTCGCTTAAACAATAAACATGGGATTTTTAACGACATATCCCTAACCCTACAAAAGGAAAAACGAAAAGCGACATGCTAAAAATTTCTTCTGTGTCTTTCCTTCTAAGAACTCATAAACTAGCCAAGCGGATGGGAGAATAGTAATGGAACCTGGTATTTTATACTTTTTTGTATGTTTTTTGTTTGTTTAAGTTTCATATCATATAGTAAACATGATGGTGAATTCTATTTCATTTTCATTTTGTACAGCTTCTAATGGAAAGCAAAGGACTCGAGGCCGCACGCAAATGACTAATGTGTGGAATCTCCCACAAGATGAGCGAATTCTCCTCCGATTCAATAATAAAAGTCAGCCATATGGGCGTGAGGCTCGTGTTCTTTCATCATTTATTGGTGTTCTTGTTAGGAATGGACAGAGACTTCCTCTAAACTACAAAACTTGGAGGAAGGTTCCTGCTGTGTACAAGAAAGATATTATAGAGCTTTTAAAGGTATGCAAAATGAACTAATCTTGGTGTCTATTACTCCCACCTGCTCATTGACTGATATTTGATTTGCTATCTTAGGAATTCTACCTGAAGCTAAAAATGTTTGTTGGAAAGAACCTAACCTATTTTCATCTTTTATCTTGTTGTGCAAATTTGGAATTGACATGAACTTTTTTTTCTATGTAGACAAAATTTTTTTTCCCCTTAGGTCATACAGGATGGATCTTAAAAGCATTGGGTAAAAAATGGAAGGATTTTAAGTCAGAATTGAAAGCAGAATATTTTTATCGTTACAAGACTAAAGGAGAACTGCTAGAAAACAAACCACCTGAAGTCCAGAAAGATCAATGGGAATTCCTTGTTGGTTTTTGGTTATCAGAGGAAGGAAAGGTAAATTTTATTTTGAGAAATATAAGTCCCCTTCTCCACCACTTGAGCTAAGCCTGACATGTTTTTGCTGTTAATTGCTTCTAACTTAATCTTTGTATTGTGCATGAAAGTTTTTTACTTGTGGACTCTTCAGTTTACCTTGACCTGAGACTTTGGATATGTATTGGTATTTGTCGCTCGCACTCATGTTGAAGTAACATAACATGACCTTAAATGTCTATGCTTCTTTTGAGCTAGTATTATCAAAAGGAAGTTGTTGTAGATAAATTTATGACGGTAGTTAATGAGAAAACAGAGGAAGA